TCCCTCTCATTGAGGCTAAACACTGATAGGCTTTACTTAGCCTCCCTGAAATCTTCAAAAAAATAAGGGAAAGACTTATTGAGTGCTTTTATTTTCTAGGAGTATCTCTTAGAAGTTTGCCTACCAACTTGAGGATTCTAGAAATAAGTTTTAGAGGAGAAAAAGAAGGTTCTTCAATACATTGTGGGTGAGGAGATTAACCTTAGATTATAGTACTAGTATAAACTCCTTTCAATTAAATTTATCCAACACTTACTGTATACCCACTGGTATCCCCAGAATATACCAGCCTTAAGATGACCCTAAAATTAATAGTGAGAGCAACAGTTTTTTATTCAGTAACTTCATGCTCTAAAATCCCCTGGAATGCCTTTTCTTCCCAGAATCCTCTTCGCAGAGACATTAGAATGTGGTGGGAAGACCACAGAGACTTAGGAAGTAAATCCAGGTTCTGCTACTACCTAACCACATGACTCTGAGCAAGCTCCCTCACCACTCAGAACCAGTGTTATCATTTGCAAAAATGTAAATTACGTCTATTTTTGATTATAACTGTAGAGGTTAACTCTAATTTATATAAAGCAGCTGACAAATTGCAATATTCAAAATAGGTGATCAATCCAGAGTAGCTATCATTCTTGTGACTAGTTTTCCTATAAGAACAATTTAGCAGTTGCTGGTATGCTGCTCTTATGGCTCTCAAACTTCTCTAGTCTGTATGGAACTCTTTTTGCCACCACTCATAAGTTTCTCAAGTCTTAGAGTAGTTTTCCTAAAAAATTATATAATAGTTTCTCGTAAGTTTTTAAGAGATAATTAAGACTTCATGGTATAGTCATCCTATAACACAAAAGCTTGACATGAGTCACCTGTAAGCTACTTCAAGTGGAATTGCTGTATTTCATCTTAAGTATATTTCCTCTCTGAAAATCTAATGTTCCAAAATAGCTACCCTAAATCTTAATGTTTTTCCAATTCAAAGTGAATTTACTAATTATGCAGGATATCCCCAGACACTAAAGCAGTTTCATTTTGTTGTTGTTTCAAGGTGATACCCAGTGACATAGGCTCCCAACCTTCAATTCTCAGACCTCCTTAAATAATTTCTTCCAGAGGACTTAAATCTTAATAAAAATTTTAGTAGCATACAAAATGTCCCGGTGGCCCTCTGGTTTAAACAGAGAACATTCCCTATGCCCTTCCTCTGTGCCTCTCAGTTACTGTGTGAGGTTTTAGAGATGTAACATGAGTCATACTCAGTCCCCATTCCTCTGCTAACTCTTCAGCAGGGGCACCAAATACTCACCAGCTATATTGTTATTGATTTATGGCATATGTCAGAGCACAGTTAATTTCAGGTTCCCAAGAGATAGCTACAAGGGAAAAGTATATCAGGAAAGATCTTACAGAATAGGAAACATTCAAGTGGCCTTGGGTAGAATTTTGACTGGTCAGGAAGTATGATGATACTTTCAGGTTGGGGAATGAACTGTGCAAAGCTATGAGGTACAATTGCAAGGTACACTTTAGGGAGTGGCAAATGGTCTTACAATGAAAGAACAGTCATCACCTTTCTTTATAGTCATCTTGGCTTTTGAGAACAATAGGATACCTGTTTTGCATCTTGAGTATGGTAACAGACACACGAGTCTACATGAGTGGTAACATTGCAAAGATCTAGCTTGCACATGTGTGCAAACACACACACACACAAGTGAAAGTAACTGAGAAAATCTGAATAAGATAAGTGGGTTGTACGAATATTAAGAACCTGACTGTGGTATTGTACTATGGCAAGATATTGTCATTGTGGGAAATCTCTGCATTAATGAACCACTGAATTACGGAATCACTGCATTATTTCCTATATACTTACTTTCATGTGTTATTTTATAATAGCACAAATTACATGCTACAATAATCTCAAAACATGTTTAATTTTTTTAATGGGTCATAGTTTAAAAATATCTGAAAGCTATTTTCCTAATATACTTTCTTGTATGGAAGAAGCTGGAAAGTTAAAGGCATATTTTCTTGAGACCAGGATTCCGGATGTGATTTATGTTTTCCATGCACTCTCAGGATGTTGAGAAGATGGAAAGGTGAACACTGCCATGCAAGTACTGGATCACACACTCCCTCTCAAGTACACACCACCCAACCCAGCCCCAGGTTTGAGCAGACCATTCAGTATCCAGTCACTAGCTTTGCGGATGTGAAGAGGCAGTGCTGGGCACAATTACTTTTCATCAGTGCAGATGTAGCAGACAAGGTGTAGCCTAGTTCAAGAGAGCAGTGTACACTTCTTCATAATGGTTAAGACTGTGTTCCTAGGACCATGTCCCGGTGGTATTTAGCCAATTCTTAATCTTCCTGATGGTAGAAGATATAGTGACTAACTTTACAGGCCATTTCTATGGTGTTGCTCTGGGAGTCAGGAGTCCTGCCTAAATAAAGCCTTTCAAAGTTTTCTAAGCACACAATTCCCTACATCCTGTCCCTTTTGCTTAAAAAGAGCTAGAGTATGTTTTTGTTTTGATTTGTTACCTGTAACAGAATTGTCATGTTGATGCCCTGTGACTGTATATATCCATGATTCTACCACTGGAGTCTCTCTCTGGTGGGATGTCCTCTAACTAAAAGTCTAAGGGGAAAAAATAAAGAAGCAAAACATTTTAGGGACACAAAAATGCAAAATTATCTGTTGATGATAATGTATATGGAAACATCATTGACTGGACTAATTTCCAGTGTGTTCATGCTGGGGAAATTCATATTATATGCTATAATGATATACAGTGATTGAATGTAAAAAAAAAAACAAGAATAAAATTAAATTAAAAATATAAAAAGTTTTAAAAGATCCAAAGTTAGCCAAAGACATAGCATGGTTGGTGGGCCTCTCTAACAGCTAGAACCCTTTGAGTATTATCTGAAAGTGAAAAGGAAAAGAAAGAAACAGTAGGTTCTTGGTTACTGGCAATGTTTGATATTTTCACCGATATAGGGGTCAGAGTATTATTGATTACAGTATAGGTTAAAAGTTCTAGGGAGACTTTAGAAAAACCTGAATGTTGTTTCAAATTTCTAATACATTTAAATTCTTTGGCATTTTAATACAGATTTTTCTCTTAGTAAAAGTCTTGGTGAGATTGTGTGGTGTATCTCACAGGAAATTAAAAGCAGCTGAGAGATTTCGTAAACTCCTATCTACCTCCTTAGTGATATTTCTTTTCTCCATTCCTCACACTTTTAAGAAACACCCTTCACAGAAAATGGAACAAACTGGAAGTGTTTTCAAATCCAAGGGGAATGGATCAGCTGGGACTGCGCTACTGCAGTGACTTGAATTGTATGATGCGACTTTCATGTTAAAGAGGAAGGCAGGCAAGACAGCAGCACTCGCATTCCCTATGGCCTGAGCCACTCCATGCTCTTCCCTCTTTTCCCTTTCTCCCCACCCACCTTTCATCATCCTCAGAACCCATGTGTGTGAAAAGCAACAGAGGAATGTGGGTGGGTTGACTTGTATAATTAAATCCATGCTGCATCGTGTTCTTTAGAATTAATAAGGAATTCATCCCATTGAAACTCACCATGACATCTTCTCTCTGACTCAGATTTCTTTTTGCTTTTCTCTTCTTTCCTTGGCTAAAAGCATTAGACATGGGGTTATGGTTCAAATTAGCATCCTACATTTCTCTCTCTCTCTTTTAATTGAACTTTTCTGTTCAGTGAAGAGTGTAGTTTGTTTATATTTCGCTTTTCTCCCATTCCGTTTATCCACCATTGTCTTTCTTCTTTCTTCTAGAAAACATACTTTGGAAAGGAGAAAAAAAACTCTTCATCTTGCTTATGATCTTAAGGGTGGAGAACACACTGCTGACCATACCTTGACTAGCCAGGAATTATTCATCAAGGCTCTTTATTCCCTGATTCCATGAAAACTGTGCTCCCACATCTGTCCACTGAGGCTGAGTGAGCTGCATATGTGAGATTGTGAGACAGGAAGAAAGAGTGAACAAACAGTACGTCTAAGTTCCTGGGTCATGTTGCGAAACACCTTTTTATTGGGGGTAATAATTTGACTTCATTCCCTTATAAAAGTAGATTTATGTGATGGATATGTGATATATATTTTTCTGCCACCGTTCTTCCAGGATAGTGGTTGAGTCAGTTAGGATTAGATTCAACTAGAAGTAACATAAGACCAAAATAACAGCGGTTTGAACCTGATAACGTTTTCTCCTTGCTCATGTAGAAGACCAGCTGTAGCTGTCTAGGCTGGTGGCCCTGCTTCCTGAAGTCTTCCTCCATGATCCAAGGACCTTACAGCTCAGGCTGTGGCCCTTGGCTTCATGTTCCAATAGGGAAGTTACGATGTCTTCAGAACAATTTTATGGACCATGCAAGAAAACACCCCTTCCTTTTCTTTGAGTTTATTTATTTCTTCCATGAGACAGAGGAGAGAAAGAGAGAGAGAGACAGGGAGAGAGACAAAGGCACACCAGCAAAGGTTCCACAGCACAACCCATCCTTACCCTCAGCCAACCAGGAATAAGGGCAGGAGTGCTCACAAGGAGGTCTTGGGACATCAACCCAGGACTTTCCTATATGCCCTCAGCATCACAGAGGGTTGTCTTATTGCTGCACCACTGTGGCTAGTCAACCACCTCCATCCTTTGTAGGATCCCGACTTTTGACTACATGGAGTGCCTCACTCATGAGAGTCAGGGCTGTGGAGTGAGACTGATACAGGCTTGAGTGCGAGCTGTGCTGCCTATTGGATGTGCAAATTTGAACCCATCCCTTAACTTCTCAAAGTCTTTATTTTTCTCTTATGTACAATTGAATAATACATATCTTCTAGAGTAGATTGAGGCTAAAAGATCACAATACAAGTAAAAAGAATTGGCCCACTCATCTGCATGATAACAAATACTATGTTACAGAGTTTTTACATTTTTGTTCTTTTTTCTTTTTTCTTTTCATTTCCAAAGAAAATAAAACCCATGTTCAGAAACTGAAGATTTTCTCACAGTGAGGACATCCTCCCAGTGAGCCACGTGTTTCTTACAAGTCCTTCTCCCAAGTAGAAACATAATCGGATGTAAAGGCATCAACTTCAGTGGTTGTTCTACCTCCCATGAAGTAAGTCTTCGCTCTCCTGCTGCAGTTTTCATCTATGAAGGTATAGTGGCTCTCTCCTTCCAATGGGTATGTTTCTTAAAGTGTGGGTTGAGAGACACCTTGGTAGGTTCTAAACCCCCCTTGGTGGGTTATGACCGTTCTTTTTAATGAAAGAAGAAAATGAAATAGAATAGGTAGGAAAGAAAATAAGAATAAATCACAAATCATCAGTGTAACTTTTTCATAAAATGTACTTCGTAGGTATGTGTGTGCACATGTTTGTATGTTCTGGTCATGAGGTAAACTGTATTTCCTAAACTGAATCATGAGTCCTGAAAAAAAGAATAATAAAGTAGGAGGAATCACTTAATGTGACAGTAAAGCTTATTACATAGCTGCAGTATTTAATATAACATGGTATTTGCAGAGAGAGAGACACGAAAATCAATGGAACACAAGGATGAACCCAGAAATAGACCTCTAAAAATATGTCTAACGGATATTAAATAGAAGTCACAAAAAGAGTTCAAATGTGAGCCCCTAAAGTGGCCCAATAGTTATCTTATCTGCACCCTAAGTAGTTGTGAGGAGAATAGAGAAACCTCTGTGTGCCAGCTATCATATATCCCAAATAGACATTGGGACACAAACTTCTTTGAGAGCTATTTAGGTTCTGGGGACCAGCAGATAGCATAATGGTTATGGCACTGGACTCCCATGTAGTTGGCTATGGTCGAGTCCTGGGCCTTCTGGGCAGATGTGCATATGTGCTCAAAATCCAAAGAGGAGAATGGAAGAGAGGGGATTGCAGCATGGCCATCCCCCTTGGGGGATGATTTCTCATTTCTATCTCTCTGTCTCTTGGGTGAGTACACATGCTCTATAGCAAAAATCTCTCCATCTAATATATATATATATATACACACACACACACACATATGTGTGTGTGTATGTGTATTTAATTCCTGGAACATTTGGCCCAAGCCCAGATTTCTAGCCATTCACATGCCCCCTGATTTCTCCCAAATATTGAGACTTTAAGTCTCTGAAAACTTCCTGCTCAAATGCTTCCCTCCCAAGCTCTTCCCTCCCCTGGAACACACTCTCTGACTTGGCCCCACCCTATACCTCTGACAAATGATACCTCATCCATGCCAGCCAAGATCAGTTACCATCCTCTCTCTCAATGTCCTTCCTAATCTCACAATTCGTTGGAAGTACCTGCTCTCTTCTCTAGAGTTTCTTAATTCATACATATGCTGACTAGCTCATGTCTTAATTCTTTGGGTTTGTTTTGTTTTGATTTTCTTTTGCTTTTATTTTGCTTCATACTAGATAGAAGTTCCTCCATTACAGGACTTATTTGCTGAATTCTGTTTCCATAGATTTTTGGAATCTCTCCATATTCTTAAAATTATTTGTTACTTATTGAGAGGTTTCTCAAAAAAGTAGACAATATCTATTTTCGATAGGTGTGCTTTGAATGGGCAAAACTGTTATTCTGCAGGTTGAATTATAAAGAAATAATCTGTGCTTATAATCTTATGAAAAAACTGAGGTGAAAAGGATCCTTTCTGGGACCAGCAGTTGGCCTAATGGCTATGTCACTGGACTCCCACTTAGTCGACCATGGTTCGAATCCCAGGCCTGGTCGCTTAAACTCACGCCAGGCATGTGTGTGTGCATGCCCAAGATCCTGAGAAGAGAATGGAGGAGAAGGGATTGCAGCATGGCCATTCTCCCCTTTGGGGGGGGGGGCAGGGGGGTGGTGATTTCTCACTTTTTGTCTCTCTGTCTCTCTCTGTCTTTCTTTCTGGCAAGTACATGCACCCTATAGCAAAACCTCTTAAAAAAAAAAAGGATGCTTTCTAACATCTATATCTATTCCATTGTAATGGTAAGTCGGTTTCAGAGTAGATCACAGGGAAGTCAATCTGAGACTGCATGACCTCATAATAGGAAGATCTGTTTGCTCAAAGGAGGTAGATGTCCAAAGATTTCAGCATACAAAGACACAGCAGCTAAGACAATTTCAAAAATACAGTATCTTGGGACCAGCAGTTAGCGTAATGGCTATGTCGCTGGACTCCCACGTAGTCGACTGCGGTTCACATCCCGGACCCGGTGGCTTAAATCTCACGTCAGGCGCGTGTGCGTGCATGCCCAAGATCCCGAGAGGAGAATGGAGGAGAAGGGATTGCGGCGTGACCATCCCCCCTGGGGTGTGATTTCTTGCTCTTTGTCTCTCTGTCTCTCTCTGTCTGTCTGGCGAGCGCACATGCACTATAGCAAAAACCTCTCCAGAAAAGAAAAAAAAAGAAAAAAAAATCCGTATCTTTAGTTATGCATTTAGAAGAAAATCCTCTCTAAGAAAAAAAGTTTTATTCTTGAAAACTATGGCTTTCCTTTTTTTCTTTCTTTTTTTTAAGGTTTTTTTTTTTTTTTCCCCATAAGGCACCATTTATTCTTGAAAACTATGGCTTTCCTTTTTTTCTTTCTTTTTTTTAAGGTTTTTTTTTTTTTTTCCCCATAAGGCACATGCACTCACCAGAGACAGAGAGAGGGAAAGTAAGAAATCACCAATCAGAGGGATAGCCATGCCTCATCAATTCCTTCTCTTTCATTCTCCTTTTGGAATTTGAACACACACACACATACACACACACACACACACACATTTGGTGCGACTTTCAAGCCACCAGATCCAGCACTTGAATCGTAGTTGGCCATGTGAGAGTCCAGCATCTTAAATACCATGCCACCTGTTGGCCCCACCGTGCCTTCTTTTTAGAATGAAATACCAGGTAATATTCTTCATCAGTGACATTCTTCATGAAGTGTAATCCCAGTCTCCCTCTTAACTGGTCTTCCTGAGCCTGTTTCTTAAATTGCAAAGTGTGGATTCCCTATGTGAACAGTTTTGTTCACCAGTTGTCTGTGCCTCTTTCTATTTCCCAGACTCTCAGTTGGATCAGGGTCACATGATTTATTTTAAACAAATGTCAAGATAGGAAACATCCAAAGTATCTTATGTCTTCTTCTTCTCATGAAGAGTATATGATCCTGATGGCAGAACTACAAGATAGAGGAGTATTTGCATGTGTGGGAAATAAAACATGACCATGTTAAGCCACTGAGATTGGGGAGTTTGTTGTAACACCTAGGATCAATGACCATGACTACTATCTTGACAATGCTAAATTCTTAGGAGAATTCAACGGGCTTGTTACATACCAGCATGAGCACAAAGTCTGAGGGAGAGAGACATCAGTTGTACAGGGGAGTGAGGTTGCCATTGTGTAAAGAAGACAAAGAGATCTATAATATGAAATTGTTGTATTAAAAGAAGAATGTGTAGAGGACAGGAATATTTGATTCCAGGGCTATAGAACATTAGACCTTGGCTAAGACATCTTTTCCAAACTTGTCTGACTCTTAGCAGAAAATACAGATTTCTAGGCTCTGCCCCAGTTACAGCGAACTAGAATCTCAATAGGAACATTTTTTATCCCAGTTGCTTTGCTGGTTTTTATACATATGGAGAGCAAGAGCCAGGAGGTTGGTGACTTTTCTGAGGTCACATATCTGGTTATTTACCACTTTGAGACTAGAACCGAGCTTCCATGAAGCCTCATGCTTCACTCATGGGCTCACAAAATAATGTTCTAATAGACTGGACCCATGA